GTAGCGTAAGGAAACGCACATACGCGTCGGGGGCACTGGATGTGTTAAGGGCGAAAATAATCTCTTCAACACTTAAATAAAAATATTTTCTTTTCCCTTTCTCTTTTAAATACACATGATACAGCTTCATCCGTTGTATAACCATTGGAACAAACTCATCACTTCCAAAGCCATTGAGCTTATCCACAAGCTTGTTAAAGAAAAATACGTCGTTACAATTTTGTTTGCGAGAATTTTATTTGCCCTAATTGGCTTTCTGTATTTGCATGAAATGGTAATCAAGATACTGGGACACAATACGGCATTTCTGTTTGAAAGCAGAAAAATAATAATATAAATATAATAATTATTGTATTAGCTTGCTTGTCTGGAGGTCGGTGGCCATTTTTCATGCATGAGCAAAAACTTGGCAAGTACCTTATGAAAAGTTATATGTACTTTCCTGTGAGGTACTGTGAGGAATCCTAGACTTTCAATTCATTATTTCAAGTTCAAATCGCCAATCTGCTCTTTATCGTGGTGATTATTGCTCAAACCTTCTCCGTGTCAGAAAAGGTCTTTGCTCAGAAGTAGGCACTTATATCCTAAATTAACTAAAATTCGCGGGTTACTCACGTGTACATGTTGATAAAAGCTCTACTAGTTTCGAACCACAGAGGGGTTCTTCCTCATGAGCAGCGTGCGCGGACGCAGCGACGTCGCCGCGTCCGCGCACGCTGCTCATGAGGAAGTGCTGCACATGTACACGTGAGTAACCCGCGAATTTTAGTTAATTTAGTATGTCTCACGATAGTTATTATAAAAACACTTATATCCTGTTGGTGTGATGTAGTAAAAATTTAATTGGTGTTGGTAATTACAAAAAGGGCGCCAAATGAGGGAATGATCGACTTCAGAATAACCCTACTTGCAGTCAGATGCATGTCACTTAACCAGTGAATCAGTCTTAAGTCACACATACATAAATAAGTGCGGCGTAGAAACAAACATGACGTCTTCATAAAAACCTTTCTACTTAATGATCTAGAGCCAAAAGACTTACTTCACTTCAAAGTAACCAAAACGTTTCTACCTATACAAAAGTTGTTCGGTAATTATTTATATCTCCCTCTTAAGTTGAACAAGTTTTTGGGACCACGTGTTTGAGACTGGGAACCAGTGATGAATAGCCACTTTGTCTTAATTATTGTTTCATTAATAAAAAAGTAATTAATCACTCTTATTGTTTCAAGTGTCGTTGTAAGGAAGTTGGTACTAATTGCATTGTGATTTTGTTTCAACAAATTGAGATGGCATCTGTCTGTTTTTTTGATAAAGAACTGCAGTGCCTGAAAGTCTGATTGATGTTCAACATGTTGCAAATATCTTTACAAACAAGACAATGTGCAAAATAAAATACCAAATTTGATTCTGGGCTCTGGGTGATTTTATTTTGAAATGAATATCATGTTTGAAAGCTGTAATATTAATATAATGAATACTTATTTCAAGTGCCTTAAGTATGGCAGACCCATGCTCCAGGACGAACGGCTGGCTAGACCAGAGTGACACTACGGCCTCAAATAAAATCGACGTCAAACAACATACAACAGTCTCACCGTGTCCTCCTTGTAGTTTATAAAGTGATGACCACTTTCACTGGAATCCTAATATCCCTGACAAGTCAGAATCCAAAAGACAGATCGACAAAGTGTCCATACGTGGCGCCGATTGCTTACCATCAGTGATCCGCCTATGTGTTTTTTTAGTGCACTAAAATTAAAAACCAAAAAAATAAGTTCCAATGATAAATTTTTCATCATCATCTTCATCAGCCTATAATTGCCCACTGCTGAGCAAAGGCCTCTTCTCACACGGAGGGTTTGAGCATTTATAACCACGCTTGCTCAAGGCGGATTGGCGATTTCAAACTTACTTATAATTAGAAATTATAAGTCCAGGTTTCCTCACGATGTTTTCCATCACCGTATGTCAGTGGTGTCTAAATAATCATAGAAAGTACATATGACTCAGAAAAAGTCACATTGGCACTTGCCAGGTTTTGAACCCGGATCTCATGCATGAGGCCTTAACCCCCAGGCCACCGCGATGAAAAATTATTACACTAAAATCTCAAATGCACACATGATTGGTGATGACAAAACTACGCAGCAACAAATTGAGTTTCAATTTACACAATTTCATTTCCTCTGGATTAAGAATCTATATCACAGTCTTTGATTCCAGTTCCTTTATTGGAAAGTTCGTCATTGGACGTTTCAAATTCTTTCCATTCTCACCGGGTAGTTGTTACATTTAGGATTCGTCTATTATTGTTTTCCGATACATGTTTTGAAATCGCTGCTTTGACCTACAAGCTGTATAGGGGTTTCTTCTGTTTACATTTTCTTTCACGTATTCTAAAAGAATTGGGTCGATTATGTAAGCAGTTCTTGTGCCGCAAATTTCGGTATTGTTCTGCTATATTTAACGTGAAATTCGAGAACGGAAGAACTATGCTTCTGCACGAATGGTTCGGTTTAGACCGGAGTGATACCACGGCCTCACAGAAAACCGGAGTGAAACAACAACAGCGTTGTATTTCGCCGTGTGAGTGGGATTATTTGAGGCCCAATCATTCTTCATCCCCCTTAATCCCAAAACTCCAAAACCCTAATCCCCAAAGATCGTAACACCCTTTACGACCTTTTTAACCGTTACCCAAACAACGTCCTCCAGCTATGTTACGGGTGTAACAGGACGGCGCTAGTTGCTTACCATCAGGTAATTCGTTTGCTCCTTTGCGTGTATATAAATTTATGAAATGAACACTTGCAACATTATTTTGAAGCTTGATATCTTCAACAGATTGAGCTGAAGTTTTGTGTATATGCTTAGTTACTTTTCATGACTGTTTAGCCAATAGCCAATGCTTCGGTGTATGACGAAAGAGTCTTAATTTCAGTATATAGCTTAAATGACTTATTGATAATAGGCCTAAAAGTTTGTAATAAAAAAAATATAATTTAATTGCTATCAATTGTAAAATTCGAAAAATTCTTGTGTATCTCCTAAACACTTTTGTATGATAGGTAATTAGAGAAAAATTTTAGACAACTATCAATAAAACATCGCCGAAAAGAATGTTTACAAGTGACTCAAATTAACTTTAAAAGCAATTAAACTTATTCCAATTTTCAAGATTTTTTAACCAAATTTCCCACCCACTTCTTATAAAAGATATATATCTAGTTTACAGCCTACACCCTTTTGCAAACAACAAACTAACACAATAATAATTAAGTTCATTATCATTAAAGGCTTATGAGAACCCACTGCTGAACAAAGACCTCCTCCCACGAAGAAGGTTTATAACGAACATTAATCACCGCTTGACGGATCTCTCTGAGTATCAAAACGGATTGACGATTTCAAACTTTAATAGAAGTTGTTTAACAAAAGTGTAAGTTTTTCAGTAGTGTCAAAATCACTAAATAGTAAAACAAAGCCACTTTATCTGTCTCTATATCCTTATGTATGCTTAAATCTTTAAAACTACAGAACGAATTTTGATTCGTTTTTTTATAGATAGAGTAATTGAAGAAGGTTTATAAATATGTATAATAATATGCATTTTTTTTATGTAATAGTTCGGTAAACGAGCAGACGGAAGAGTTATGAGTCCGTTGCTGACCTTTTCGGGATTAGGGATTTGGAGATTTAGGCAGGGGAAGGATTGGGCCTCCGGTAACCTCACTCACACGGCGAAACACAACGCTGTGGTTTTTTCACGCCGGTTATCTGTGAGGCCGTGGTATCACTCCGGTCGAGCCGACCCATTCATGCCGAAGCATGGCTCTCCCACACTTAAATATTGGAGAAATTTCATAGCACCCGTGCGAAGCCGAGGCGGGTCGCTAGTAATCGTATAAAATACCAAGATGGCTCGGAAAAGTCACATTAGTAATTGCTTTAGTTTGAACTCACAGATGGCGTCTTAACCACCGACCACAACATGTAAATTAAAAGCAATTAACACAGTCCAATCTCCTTCAGTTCTCAATTCAAAATTCAAAACCGCCTCTACTGATTACAAGTTATCTAACTCAAAACCAGGACCCTTTTCAAAACAATAAACTGATACAACGATATTGATATTCGATAAAACAATTAGGTTAGTTTGCTTAGATATTGATTCGCCTTATGTCTAGTTACATAAGACCTAATTGTTAGTCATTGGTTGCTTCCCAACTTGATTAAGAGTTTGTAAGTTGGGTAAAGACTTTGTTTATTCAGGACATATTGTACCGTTTCGGGAATTAGAATAATCTGAGCTGATATTAGTTTAAGAGAGCTAAGCTTCGGCACAAATTGGTCGGCTCGACCGGATTGATACCACAGCGTGAGAATGGTTTAGTTCTCTATGTCTCCCGGCCACCGTAAGCGCGAGTCTGCGGACGGCGAGTAAGGGTAGCTCGCCGCCCGACCAGTACCAGACCCGAGCGTACGGCGCGTAGCGTTCCGCACGCGGCTCAAAGAGCCAATGAACTACCACAGACGGGGCCCTATAGGGCTGATGTTCAGCCGGGGTTGCGGGTTAAGCGCAATGAGTCACCGCGGCCTCGGCCCGGAGCAGGAGAAGGAACAGGGAGGCTTTTAGTCAGTAAGAGTCTGACACTCCCTGTGGTGGCCGGAGATCGTCTTACGGTGCCGGAGATCGTAAACAATAGTTAATGAGACATCGCTAAAAAGAAATCTCTTCCACAACCTTTGGATAGAATTTTATTACTCCAAAATACATTTAGGAAATCTGCTGATTTAAATACAAAATGTGATTTTAAAATGTTTACCGTTTCCCCATTCACTAGGAATCCCATTAAAGTTACTAATATATTAACAACCCGGTTGGATAATGTTACAATTTAGTTAGTGCAAGATTTTTCATAGAACCAACCCACACACTCTTCGTCATTCTTAAAATTTTCATGGAAATTCCTGCTAGGTTTCTGAATTGCACGTACCTGAAGATCCATTGATGTCCATTGCCTTTAAGTTTCTAGCCTTGATGACGGTCACAGTCAGTCGGCCCGCAGTCGGCAGGTAACAAAGCGAAAGCATCAGCTCCCCAAGATCTTTCTTCTCCTGTTAACAAAGTATATAGTTACATGATTTGATTGATTTTTTATTTTAATTTTTTAAATCGTTGCTCCACACTAGGATTTTTTCCTGTGTCATGGGTGCGTTTACAAACATACAATTCCACATACACATCACATTCAGACCCGGAACAACAATTTGTGGAATAAACAAAGAGTTGTTCCGTGCGGGAATCGAACCCACAACATGTTGCGCGGCAGCCAGTTGCCCAGCCACCGCGCCAACCGTGAATACATGAACTTAAGGCACTCTTCTTTAATCACAAAACTTAAAAAAAACTTCATATATTTTTCTATCTCTAAATTGAACCTAACAAGCGTCGAGACAGAACGAAAAAATATATACTATGAAAAAGCTTTTATATAAAGAGAACAATATTATGAAGAAAAATTACTCCCCGGTAAATTTAATTAGGTGGTAGAGGAAACATACTTAGCGGTGTGTTCACATTGGAATATTTTTCACAAAGTTTTAGAAAAAAAATCTATCTTAGTTTGGTCTCATTTGTAATCTATACGATAGGAGATTTTATGGATTGTCCCTAGGATGCGCCGGACTTTATTATTTTCATGGTTGTATCTACTGGAGATCCTGTCATATACGAGTTGCAGCAGTTTTAGGAGGGTGTTCCTACGGACGACTTTGGACTTTGTTGCCGGCATGTCGGCGAAAGAATGTTAACTCACACAATAACATGACAACCATGGGGAAACTTTTATTGAAGTCCTATAAAAGGACCCCATACTTAAATATTTTTTTCATGCTAAAGGTCGGTAAACGAGCATACGGATGACCTGGTGGTAAGCAATCAACGCCGTCCATGGACTTCTGCCACACCAATGGTGTTACGAGTGCGTTGCCGGCCTTTAGGGATAAGGGTTTCAAATATTTAAGGATTGGGAAGGGATGGGGGAGAGGGAGGGATTGGGCCTCCGGTAACCTGACTCACACGGCGAAACACACGTTTCACTCTGATGTTTCTGTAAGGCCGATATTTGACCAAAATATTTCGCCCGACTTCAATATCTAAGCGCCTTTACTTGCTCACATAGAAAATAATAATTAACCTGTCGATACAATGATGTATTGTTTGTTCTTATTACGTAATGTATTGTATACTCTAGCTTTGTTATAAAGGATATTATTATTATTTTAAAGATTATACTACAGCTTGTGAAAAAATGTGTCTATTGAAAAAACATCATTTTTTATAGTAAGTGTGTCGAGTGTCACGAATGGGTCGGCTCGACCGGAGTGATACCACGGCCTCACAGAATACCGACGTGAAACAACCACAGCGTTGTGTTTCGCCGTGTGAGTGAGGTTACCGGAGACCCAATCCTTCCCCTCCCCCGATCCCTCCCAATCCCTAAATCTCCAATTCCCTAATCCCTAAAAGGTCGGCAACGCACTCGTAACTTCTTTGGTGTTGCGGGTGTCCATGGGCGGCGCTGATTACTTACCATCAGGTAATCCGTCTGCTCGTTTGCCGACTTATTATAACATAAAAAAGTAGTCATTTGTGTCCTGGAGACATCGGACATCTTGCCGATATGATGATGATTTAAAATTACCACGCATGGAAAATTTGTAAATTTAATTTGCCCACCAATCTAATTACAACAATTGAGATTAGAGAATCTTTCTTAAAATGTAGGTACAAAAACATAATATTTAAAAACAAAAAACGATTGAAGAACTGTTAAAATGAAAAACAATAAAAAATTATAATCTCCTAGACAATACATTCCCTATCTCCAAAACTTTCAGAACTCAAAAAAGAACTTTAAAAAGTAACAATTAAAATTCAAAGTTATTACTTCCAAATTTTTATCATTAAAGTTTATGATTTCAGTTATTGAACTTTTTTATAGTTATCCAAGTACCTAATAAAGTGGAAAAATGTTGTAATCAGAGTTTTATTTACGCCAACTTATTTCAATTGCGTGGCCTTGATTGATCCTTTCTCTTACTGAAAGACTGATTATTTTATTTTAACTTTTGCAAATTGACATTAAATGCTTAAAGAAATGATTAAATGTTATATCTTATTTTTCTTTTTTCTATTTCACTGATAGATCGATATCAAGAAGAGAAGAAATTACATTTATTATCAATCCCAGCCGAGGTTGAGGATGCAAGCCATTCGGAGAAGGAACGGTATGATTGCTAGTCAGTAAAAGTTTAACAGTCTGAGTCGCCCCATCCAGGAAAGGCGATAGGATGATTATTCCCATCCTGACAACGAACTTGCTAGTGCACTAGTAATTGATAAATTCGACACTTGACAACATATTTACCATTTTTTATGCATTACAAATGACATGGAAATAATTTGTTAAGATTTTTTTGTCTAGACTAGCTCAATCTCATGTCTAAGTACTTAAAAACAGGGCTAAAATATACTGAAAATTTAACATTGTTTAAATATCAGAGAAAATTAAAAATCACTCAAAATCTTATAAAACAGTCTGGAATGCGAATGCCAACGCATTTCAGTATCAAAAATTTTAAAGTTAAATTGCTCGAAATTAAACAAAACATTATTAAAAATTGCCAAAAGGTTATTTAAAATTATGACCTAACTAATTTTAGTAATAAAATTTATTTATGAATAAATAATAGCATGTGCATGCATTATGAAGGCTTAAATACTCGTCAATAAGAGGCAGCTAGCAGACATGATCCAAACGTAATTAATTTTATTAAATGGTAGGATAAAATATGAAAGTATTTAAATAATAGACCTCTGTAGATTTATGACTCAAATTTGATTTGAAAATAGCCATGCCGAAAAATACTAGCTCAGTCTTCACAGTTATTTGGTGCTTACTTAAAAAAATAACTTATAACTCAGGACAGCCGTAATAGGACAATCGATAATTAAACACTGAATTATATGGTTTTAATTAAAGTCATTAATATCCTCTGCCACCATAAGTCGGCTCAGTGGCCAAACGTTGGTTTGGTTACTGTATCTGTAGTCAAACAATCTTTATTTTCGTACCAAATTACCAAATAGCTATCCAAACTATACACTATTCAAAAGAAAAAACAAAAGTATGTGAGCTTAATCGATTGTGAGATATATCAGTCTGGCATGAAGCGAAAGCATTTCTGTGTATATACACCAACAATAAATATTATCATTATCATCGAAAGACAGTACCTATTAGGTAAAAAATATTACCAAAAAATACTAATCACACCTGACAAAACATGAAAACCGTTTCAGGAACGTTCCGATACCAACTCAAGTTAAAGCAATATTGAAGGTAAACACAACTGCTTCATCAAGTAACACGGAAGCTGATATTATCTTAATGTCCCATCAAAATAACCTTGAGAAATTAGGTCACCTGTTTCAAATTCACGACATCACACCTTGGAAGGTGCCAGATAAAAGGTGTTGAGACCTTCGCGATTCAAAGGACCACAAAGCCGTGACATGGCTTTTATTCGCTGAGGGTAAAAGTGAGTGCGTGAGTTATAATACCCTTTTTCTCGTTGTCTTGAGTGCTTTTGAACAGATGAGCCTAGTGACATAACCGAACATAATATGGCGGCTTTTAATTTGTACTTGTTTCTTTCTTCCCACTTTGATTTCATTGTCGATGTTGAGGGTTCAGAGTCATATTTTTGTTCAGCTAAAGTATTATTGGTTAGTTTTCGATTATTCACTAATATAGCTAAAATTTTGAATTTTGCTATAAGCTAATGAAAATTAGTGACAATTAGGTGTATTTTGAATATGTGACATTAATATCCTATTCGGGGATAAAGAATAAAGCACTATATTGATTTGGGTTTAGATGAAGACACTTGTAGATTTGTATAAAATAAAGTTTAAAAAAATCAATTACTAAAACTTATCCTACACCACTTCAACTAAACTGACAACAACCTTCAGACCTGGCAATTAAATTTGCGAAGGTGCTAGCTGGAGACTCGAAGGACCAAAAAGGACCGAATACAGTACGAACAGACAATGATTAATGAGTTTGGTCCTTCGGTCCCCGCCTAAGGCTACCACGATGTTCAACCTTGTGTACGGGTAAATCAAATTATTTCGAAGGAATATTGCAACCATGATTAATTATACCGAGTTATTGAAATGTCATAATACTTTAAGAATACTTTGATTGATTTTTGTATACTAAATTGATTATAGAAGCAAAGTTTTTTTTAAAATTTTATATTCAAAATGTGTTAGTTTCGCAATTGCTTTATAACTTTATATTTATGTATCATATTTGTAACATTGTAGAATCAAATCCAAGATGGAGATGATTATAACCTCTTTCATACCCTAATTTAATCACACAAATACATTCATTCATTAGACAATCATTATGGACATACTATGAGATTTACTGTCTATTTTGTTTCTCACCTGTGGAGCAGCCAAGATGTTCATGGTGTATTCAATCTCCTGATGAAGGTCAGCAGACTCCAGGAGACCTTTGAGGACCACGTGACCGATGAGATCATGTCGGCTGAACCGATCGAAGTCATACACTGAGAACTGGATGTAGCGCTGACGAAGTTCTTCATATGGAACGCTGTGGAAAGAACAATAGTTTTAATTGTCAAGAAAAAATTACGTTAACTGGATAGTTGTGATACATATACTTCAAGCTTATTAAGACGCCACAGACACACTGTGAACTTATAATATCTAATTATAAGTTTGAAATTGCCCATCCGCCTTGAGCAAGCGCGGTGATTAATGCTCAACCCTTTTCCGTGTGAGAAGAGGCCTTTGCTCAGCAATGGGCACATTCAGGCTGATGATGATGATGATGATGATGATGATGATGATGATGATGATGGAAAATTGTGTTCTAAAAGACTTTTGTAAAGAATTTAGTCCTCATTTATTATCTAAATTGAATGTTTTTCACAGTTAATACTACTCGTACTTTCGGAAATAATAATTGCTATTCTTGGATCCAGTATTCTAAACATGAAAAATCTAGAACCTAATAATAATTATAATAAGTTGAAGACTGAAGCGAGCAAAATGAAGTGTATCATTTTTGGCAGTCACACTTGATGGAAAAGACAATATAAAGATAATTTACAATGAACGTAGGTACTTAAAAACATATAAACCTTTCAATACCGCAAAATATTGTTTCTAAGAGCGCAGCGTGTCTCAAGAGGCATCAAATTGATACTTGAAGTGAGAGGAAAGCACTTGAATGTGACTGATCAAAATGGACCCTAAAGACTGTACGCGTTGAATGTTGCAAATAGCATAATATTGATTTTTCAAACGATAAATCGATTGACACAACGGTTTCTCTAGTTTTTTATTTTTGTATTAATATAAGTACCACAATCTTGTCTTTTTTCTGTTTTGTAGTGGATGGTTTGTTGTTGCCCTTTGTTGGTACAATTTTCATAAAATACCTATTTTCGAAAACATTTTAAATAATTCAAAATTACAGAAATATATTTTGTATTAATTTCGTAGTGGACATCACAAATTATTTACATCAATGCATAGTATGAAACACAACGTCGCTTTCTCTGTCCCATCCCTATGTATGACTAAATCTCTAAAACTACTCAATATATTTTGACGCGGTTTTTTAATAGATAATAGTGATTGACTTAAGGAAAGTTTACAATAGTGTGTATAACAACATCGATTAAACAGTGGAGAAATTTAGTATCAGCATTGGCCTGTGTGAAGTTGGGGCGTGTCACTAGTTATTTACAATCAAATAGAAGATTGAAAGCCAAAACCATAAACCGAACAATATAAATGAAATGGCAGTACAAAGTACAAGTCTTGAACGAGTACATTCTTTATCTATCTACACAACACTCACCCTAGCGACACCTCAAACATACTTTGTATCTAGCTTGACAGATACTCAGCAAGTCTTTTTCGTTTAGTACCTTAATGCATCCACAAACAAAGATTGATGTATAGACAGTTTTAGTTCAATCACCGAATACCTTTCAAAAATGTTTACTGATATAAGTCAAGATGCGATTACTGTTCGAGACACTGATATGAAACGATTTGTGTGTTCTATTTCTTTATATAATAGGCTTTTGTAACTTAAGATCTGGTTGTTGTTACAAGTCTGAAAAGGGATTATTTTGTAAACGCACAAAATCTAGTGATGGCCCCTAAGGTCAGCCAGGGTTGCCGGTGCAATTACGTGGCACCAACCCAGAGCAGGAGAAAAAACAGAGTGAGTTTTAGTTAGTAAAAGTTTGACACTACTTCTGTCCCCATCCAGAAATTTGACGATTTCCCCCTTCAAAACTTGATAAAAAAGGAAACGTGAAGAAACACCAAATGGCCGAAATGAAACAGAAAAAAAGAAAGATTAGTCAGTTCCAAAACCAATACACATAAGTCTAAAACTTAATAGAAACTGCCCAACATATTCTTAAAGCCACAGGTTGTAAATTCAAGACTCTGACTTCCAAACACAATATTCGAATTGGAAAAGGATTTAGGCAAATTGTTTAGGGTTCACGATCGAAATTTATCTTCTTGCCTTGAATAACTTAGACTTTAGACAAAAGGTAACAACCTTCCTAGTGTTGAATACTAAACAAAATATATATTTCTGGACCCCAGCAAGGAAGACAATATAAAATGTATGTTATCTGAAAAAGAAAGAAAACCGAAGAAAGAACGAAAGAAAAGAAAGAGAACCGAAGGTAACCGGCGTGAAACAACCACAGCGTTGTGTTTCGCCGTGTGAGTGAGGTTACCGGAGGCCCAATCCTTCCCCTCCCCCAATGCCTTCTCAATCCCTAAATCTCCAAATCCCTAATCCCTAAAAGGTCGGCAACGCACTCGTAACTCCTCCGTTGCGGGTGTCCATGGGCGGCGCTGATTGCTTACCATCAGGTAATCTGTCAGATCGTTTGCCGATCTATCACATAAAAAAAAGATTTTTTTTTGAGGAAGCAAAAGTATACAGTGACTTATTATACATGCTCAAAAAACAAGATAATATGAGAAACCAAAATTGTCATTGTCAGTTCAGCGTGTGCCTTGCACGGTATCTTTCTAGTTCCTTACTAGGTCTAGGAATTTTGAATCCAGAACCATATTATATTATTATGTCATATTATGTTGTCCAGGACCATGTTGTATAAGCCAATGTCTGTTAAGCTGTGCGGTGATAGAATCTACCCACCCAATCGAATCCACATGGCATGCAAAAATCATTATCAGAAACGGTTCCATTTAAAACATAAACCTACTACTTTTTATACAAATCATTTAGCATATTCATTTATCTCGAGTTTAATATTTAACAAAACATTTCAATAAGAGAGATTATCCAAAGATCTGCTTTATAAAAGACTTTGTCATTTCCATTCCTAAGAACTTTTATTCTTCGTGACACAAAATATAATACCCACTTTAATTGTTATAAATATCTTCCATCCATCTTTGATATTTAAGGAACATCGTAAAAAATATTCTTTTGCATATAATTGATTATAGATATACCATTCACAAAATTGAAATCCGAAGAGCAATGAGTCATAGTATTAGACATGTGCAGATGCATTTGCCCTGAAGTCCATCCGCGCAGACCAACCAAGACGTGTACAGACTAGTTTCCAGAAAATCAAAAGATGTCTTCGAACTTGATGTCGGACCCAAATGTTCCCATTCGAAGAAACGTGTGATTGTAATCCCATTCCTACAGTTGAGGTCTTTGACCTCAGAAAAGTTTGTCAATTTATTTGTTCTGCATACAGATTAGGCATTTTTACTTTTACCGCGCAACCCACACTTGTACAGGTTGTCAACCCTGGTTCGGATGTAATTATGAAGATTTGGGAAAGTTTGTAGAAGCCTCTGAGAGTTATATGGTAAAACTTTCAAGTCAATTTAACGTAGAACGCTTCAGAGTGTTGTAGACGTTAAACTTTTTTTGCTGTTTAACAGGTCTACATAATCGCAGTCGCAATTTTTTACTCAAGTTGAGCCTCTGGAGATTTTCCGACATGATTCGCATATAATAAGGTTCTTTTTCACCTGACAATCGCCACGAACAAGCGCCCGCGGTGACTTATTGCGGAATCGGTGCATATTTATTTTTTGGCAATGTGTTAAAAATTTTATATGCGTTTTATAGAAAACTCGTACGATGACGGCGATATGGCAGACAGATGTGTGTGTACACATGCACATTACCACTCGTCCTGTCTGCTAGTTATCATTGCCGTGAAATGTGCGTGGCATGACAATAATATCGCCGCGATTTTGTTGTTAATTGGATATGGCGCCTTATGTGTAGAAGGCTTCGTTAATCAACAACAAGGGTAAATTATCCAGCTAATGAGCCCAAAGGGATCATTAATTTGCTGATAATGGTTGTATACGTGCAAGTTGTTATTTTTGTGAGTTACCTCAAATCAATTTGCCTATGACCAGCAAAATATGTTATAGAGAATCGCCACGTAACTAAGGGCACAAAATTTCCAAATTTCTTCTTTGGACGATGTAGCCCATGTTAAGACTAACAGTACTATGATTCCCTAGCATTTCTCGTAACAGATCTGTAATGCCTGTTACGTAATGCGTATTTATGGAAATTAGAAGCTACCGCTAAACATCACCAACTTCTTATCGCTTGGTCTTAATCTAAATTTAATAATCAAACTTTCTATTCCGGGAACTCCGATGATACTTTTAAAGCGAAGCACAATTAACGTCAAGATGAAAACTAACTGTAAACTCAATTATCTGCCTGTAACTCAGGGAGTCAGGTGGCACTTTACAAAACTAATATTTTGTCGAAATTTTGCCAAAATTCTGCGGAGTCCCTAGGGATGGATCGAAACGAAGGATTAAGACGAGATAAAATTTTAAGACGACACCGATCTTGAGAGCTTCGATATTGATGGGCATTAAAATTTGATCCCCACAAATTTGATTAGGATTAGTTCTGTGTTTATCGGTTACTTTATCGTTTTAAGTTTTAAGGGATGGCAGTATATTTTAAAAGATTGATTTAGTTGAGTTACAAATATCTTTATATATAAAAATGGATCGCAAAATGTGTTGGTAAGCGCATAACTCAACAACGCCTGGACCAATTTTCCTAATTCTTTTTTTGTTGTGTTTGTTATTTTCAGGAGAAGGTTCTTATCAAAGAAAATATTAGAAAAGTAGAGGGGAGTTTAGGAAAAAGTGACCCGTGAAAGTGAAAAGCAAGATAGTTGGACCCGTGCGAAGCGGGGGCGGGCCGCTAGTTGTTAATAAAATCCACTAAATTTAATTCATTTTTAAAAACATATCTCTTAAGTAAGTATAATAGATGAATTCTTTTGTCAGAATGTTGTATATTATCGACTTTCACTTTTACAACTTACGGACATAATCTTTTCAATTAATATAATAATTTAATTCTATTGTCTTTCAAAATCTTCTTACCTGAACAAGAAAGTCTCATTGAACACAGGGTTCAGGTTCTTGCGATGGACCTTAGTCTGGAACTTCTTCTTGCGGTCGGGGAGTAGGAAGACCTTGATGTAAGGGTCACTGCTGCCTGTCACATCCTTGATGGGAAGATCTCGAGCCTCAAATATCTGATAAAAGAGAAAAGAAAAATTAGTACAACGGTAGATAATGATAACGATGTTAATGATGATGACAAAGACGAAGTGACGAAAAAAACTTTGAGGATAACTCATTAATCAAAATGAGTGGTTACCAAAATATGCTCTTATGGTCGTTTTTGGATATTTTTGTGGTCGGCTAGGGAGAACTAAAGACAGATCGCCTGATTGATGGTAAGCAATCGGCGTCACATATTATATATATATATGCATATTCGCAATATTAGATGATTTGGGGTCCGTCGAAGATTTGGGGATTTAGAGTTATGGAGATTTGGAGGGCGGATCCCGCTAGGAACCATAAAAAAATCTTGTTTTACACCGTTTTCTTGAGAGACCGCTATCGTCTGATCGAGCTAAGACATAATATGCCGAAGAATAACTATTCCATTTTAATAAAGAGCAGATTAACACTACTGACTGATTGATACTATCCTTAATTTATTTGTCATAAAAAGCTTGAAGTATGATAGTTTCGAAGTATGTATAGAAATTTTTAAAGTCCTTGAAAATCATAAATTCGTAAAAAAGCTGTTTTTATGTTTTAATTAAATCAAGGACGCTTTAAATGTGTCCAAAAATATCAAATTTAACTTTTTGTGGTATAATAAAATGCCATTATAAACACATATTTGATGGCATCCAGGTACCGTTTAGCACTAAGGTCAAGAACTTAGGAGTTTACATCGATAGCAGAATGTCCTGGGAGACGCAGATTCAGGAAACCAGTCGACGGTTATTTGCATCTGTAGGATCCTTAAGACGACTGAAAAACTTCTTGCCCATTGCCACAAAAGTTGCGCTAGCACAATCTCTCCTTCTTCCTATTCTTGACTATGCCGATGCCAGCTATCTTGATCTCAGAGAGGACCAACTTAATAAACTTGAGCGACTTCAAAATGTTTGTATAAGATTCATATTTGGTTTGCGCAAGTATGATCATGTGTCAGAATTTCGTGCTAAGCTCAAGTGGCTTCCAATACGACTTCGTCGGAATGCTCACATACTTTCCTTACTATACAGTATTCTTTTTCACCCAACGACCCCTTCTTACCTCAAAAATCGTGTTGAGTTTGTCTGTGACACGCATTCAGGATCTCTTAGGTCATCAGAAAACCTGACACTGAAGATGCCAGTACACTCCACGTCATTTTATGATAAGTCGTTTGCTGTACAGGCCACGCGTCTGTAGAATGCTTTGCCAGTGACGATTAGACGTGCGCAGTCGCTAGCAGTTTTTAAGAAAATGGTAAACGACCACTACATGGCTCAGTAACTTATCCATCATCGCTATACCTATTGTTATGATTTATTTTTATATATATATATTTTATAATTTCTTATTTGTTTATTATTTAATATATATATATATATATATATATGAAGGCACCGGGGGGTTGGTACAAACATCAACATCCTGATCATCGTCTTCACAGTCCATCGCAGGGCGTAGGATTTTATAATCAGGCCGAATAAATTACAAAAATAACGGACGTCGGCGATCCGTCTCCTATGACAGTCACAGCGCTCGCTCTCCAACATAATGCGCACGCAGAACTGCCAGTTTGACGTTCCGCCAGAGTACGATTTATGGTACCCTCGTCCGATGAATTGTAATAAAACCTCCTTCAAAATTCAATTTAAATAATCGTCGCTCCGACACGGCCAGACTGACATTCGCTCGTCCTCGAGCGATCTTAGTTCTGTGGTAGTTCTGGAACAGAAGGAAGATTCCACGTGTATAGCACGCTGCTCGTTCATCCTGACTAACATGCACTATCTCAACATCGTCTGGTTACTGTACTCAACATCAATGTAACATTATCATCATTATCAGTTGTACCTACTTCCAAAACTATGAAACAACTTATCCCAAATCACTCTGATACGGCCTCAGCGATTGGTGTGCATGGACCGGATGTATGCGCCTCTACCACCAGCCAACGTGCTCCGGCAAGACCACATCATCCCTTCGACCAGCTCACCAGATCACCTGCCTGGGTCAGACTAGTGCGTCCCTCCGACTAGACACCACGTGACATAGACCGGACGTCACTATCCTTCCCAATGATCAGCTACGCCAACTCACAACAGAACTATATTCACAGACACTCTCGTTACCCACATGAAACTAGGTACAACCATCAACTGACAATATTTAATTTGTGAACTAACTTGCACATTATAACTACAGTCGTTGGTTCAATCATATGAACACGCAGATAAGGAGCATGATAACCCGTTATAACAAAGAAAAGGAACTTCCTCACCCGTAGATATCTCCATCACGACTTAAGAAGGTCTATGGCTTTAAATGTTACATCGCTGGTTTTCTTCAGGCAGTAGAAACGTGGCATGAAAAACAGATGACTGCATGCCCCTTTTTCATACGCGTCAGTTACAGGTCATACTTTCGGAATATTAGATAGTTTCCCATCAAATCCCACTTCTGATGAAGGCACCGGGGGGTTGGTACAAACATCAACATCCTGATCATCGTCTTCACAGTCCATCGCAGGGCGTAGGATTTTATAATCAGGCCGAATAAATTACAAAAATAACGGACGTCGGCGATCCGTCTCCTATGACAGTCACAGCGCTCGCTCTCCAACATAATGCGCACGCAGAACTGCCAGTTTGACGTTCCGCCAGAGTACGATTTATGGTACCCTCGTCCGATGAATTGTAATAAAACCTCCTTCAAATTTCAATTTAAATAATCGTCGCTCCGACATATATATTAACCTTTGGATGGAGTTTAACTGTAGAAGAATATGATACGGGCAGTTTAGGGCGTACATATAAATTATAATATAATTTAAGGATATATATATATTCTAATTATCCTTAAATTATATTATAATTTATCCTAATTGCTTTTAAGCGATAAGACCGCCAGTTGTACTATATTTTGTGTTTTTGTTTCCTATGTTTTTTATTATTATGGTGTACAATAAAGTATACTCATTCATTCATTCATTCATTCATTCATTCATTCATTCATTCATTCATTCATATTTCTCAAACACTCACGTATTTTAATATCTATTACATAACATATCTGAACGCCTGCATTAGAAACTTTATGAGCCTTATCGTAAAGATAAGAAAACTCTAATTCAAAATATTAAGGTACATTTTCATATAACAACAATATAATTGAAACCTACATTCAAGATCCAAAAAACACACAAGCGCCAATCAATTTTGGACATTAATTCCTCTGACATTTCCCACACGTGCTCTTCGCCAATAAATTAATTAATTTCCATGCTACCCATACAAATGGTTGGTTAATCAAATATAATAATATGAAGCAATTAATTTTGAGTGGCAAGCGAAATTGGTCCTTATTGACACCTGAGGTGATGAGGCTTAAAGTTGAGCGATCCATTTGTCATGCGTAGGCGAAAATAAAAGATTCATTCTTTATCTCTTTTAAACCGATAGCGATAAGTTTTCTCTTTTATTGTTTTTATTGAAATCTTACTAACTAGAACTTAATGCTACATACATAGTAAAAATTACTTTAACGATGTACATAATCATCGTTTTAATATCTAATGCACTTTTTGAATAGTAACTATCATTATTATTAGACGTACTAAATTTATTAAAAATAACGATGTACGCACGTGAATTTAATGTGAAAAGCTCTACTGGTTAGTTCTAGTAGTAGCACTTGTTGCGACTCGCACGCTACTCAAGAGTAAGAGTCCCGTTGTGACTTGAAACTAGTCGAGGCTCCCTCGATTCACGTGAATAAATTGTTATTTTCATGAAATATAGAATTTATAAAACTAATTGAGATGCTTTTCCTTCCTTGAACTAATGATTAAACAATAAAGAAAGTGAGAAATAATCCCTGTAAATTTTGGATAGTACCTAATCCTTATACCACACAACGAAGAACCCAAAAAATTTACGCGTAGGAGGACTGCAAACCTACTTTACTGTATTATCAAACTTAATCCCTATTACCTGCTCCACAAAGTCTATAAATCAAAATCGTATTACAAAGTTCAAGATACTCTAAAGGTCACGACCTAGAAGCGACAAATTTAATTAAGATCATTACATATTATTTTATGGAAGGTATTAAAGATTCCAAACTTTTAATCATAAGTTTGTCACAAGACTTGGCCTTTATTCGTCTTGACCTTGTTATAGGACGCTGTGTTAAAGAGATTGATTGAAAAAGGGCAAGTGTGGATTGTTAGATCTAAAAAGATTCTGTGCCTTTTTTTTCAACCAATGGTTTTTACTGAAACGAACCCACAGACAATTGTTTTCTTTTAAAAGTAAAAAACTTATAAAAAATTCACGTAGTAATTTTAGCTATTCTCGAAATTTACACTTAGCTTCAAACTTTGTGCTTTTTCATATACTAGTATTATAGGTATACATAATCCTTATGAGATAAGAAATATGTCGATTTCACACATTTGTTATGGTTTAAAACCTATTTACGTGTCGTGTTACATAACATAATATTGTAGTCAACACCCATCAGACTTTAAGGTGGTTCTTATTTATTTATTTAATAATTTTTGTACACACAGTAAGTTGGTCAAGAAAAATAATACAACAATTAGGTACAAAGGCACAGCTTATTTCTTCAGAAATCTCTTCCAGCAGGCCCGGAGACAAACAACAGGAGAGTTAGAATAAAAAGTTGTGTAGACTGACTGTGTAAACACAATTAGGAAAAAGGAAAACAATAAGAATTAATAAACTATTAAACAGCAAAAATATATAAATACATAACATATAAACCCCAAATAATATAATATAAATATATATATGTACTAATAATGTTCTTTCTTTGGGTTTGGACCCATAGGTAGTTAGGATATAATTTATTTTTATAATATTTCTTTGGCTGTTTATTTCGCAATGTCAAAATTCTAAGTAACCTAACGAATTTGAGGATTAATAAGTTGTAGTTACTTACTTAAAAGGTTTGAAGC